AATCCGCTATCACCTCTGTTGAATGGCACCCAACCGAGGCGGGCATATTTTTGGCGAGTGCTGAGGACGATCAGACTACACAGTGGGACATAAGTCTCGAACAAGATGCAGGAGAAGCGGGGGGCGACGTTGAAAACTGTAGTGCAACGCTTCCTGTGCAACTTCTATTCCTCCACAGTGGGCAGGAAGAGGTAAAGGAGAGCCATTGGCACCCACAAGTACCCGGCTTGGTAATCAATACAGCCCTTGACGGCTTTAACGTCTTTCGCACAATTTGTGTATAACAACTTCTCTTTGCAAGTTTACCTATTTATGGAGTAAATTAAATGAAATTGTCACTATCGTATTTTCGATCTGTTACCGATTTTATTTCGTCGCGAAATAATTACACTATTAAACATATTGGATAGTCCTATAGAATCTATGTTACTTGATTTGAGGGAATTTTAATCTCCTCTCGAAGCGCTCAACTGTCAATTCTCTGATTCAGAGGATCGCGTACCCTTACTAAGGTATCGGAATGTCAGTTGCTGGTGCTGAAATAATTTCTATCTTCACAAGCCGTTCTCCAATTAACACGGTAAATTTGTATTATTTCTGTGGCTTAAACATTGATCGCTTCTGCTATGCAATGTTTAGGCCGTAATATCTTAACGTCAAAATCGGTAAAAAAAAATCAACCGCATAGGTTCCCAGTGTTACACCAACTTTTTGGCTGTTATCTTAATGGTTTTAATGACTTACTACTAACTGGTCGTCACAGTAATCGTGAAACATGCACCAACGGTTTTGATCGTGGTCTCTTGCGCATCTTCAGATTGTTTTCGCGTCGTCACCTGCTTTGCCCAGGTATAGTCAACATTTGGATTATAAGCGAACAATTTGTGAAATCGAGGCTTGTGTCATAGAAACTTGATTGCCATCTGTTCCACCTAAAAATTCTCAGTGTTGGTCAGTCACCCGTTTTTGCATCAACTGTCTTTTCTCAATTACTGACCCCCTGGTAGTAGTCTAATGTTAAGTGGGCAACGCTTTCTGCCTCGACGGTATTAGTCCCAAACCCGATCGAAAATAAAGTCTGGCGGTGTTGCATGATGAAGGCGTGCCCCCGAGTGTGCCTTAATGTCAGAAGGAAGTGGGTAGGTTGAATCTGAGCTGGAGTCCAATAAATGAAAGTAATTTCAAATCATATGTTACGCGTTAGTAGCATCCGTTAAGCTCTTAAGCACACAATATGGAGGGCACAGATCGCTGTCGCGTATTGACCTTAGGTGAACCAACAATACGCTAATCCTGTGGTGCTCAGGCGGTGTCTCTTTATAGCCCGCACAGGAATACTCTTCGGTCTTGAACAAAAAATATAGACACAAAGTAGAAAAAAACCACAAGTAGTAGAAAGAGAAAAATATGACAAGATGTTATGTCGTTTCTATCAACCACTAATCAGAAGAAAAAAGTATGAGCAGCTGGGTTATATGTGTGTGAAAATGAATCCAAATAATTTACTTCAGATTGAAAAATTAAAACCTGAAAAATCACAGTTAAATAAATACCATTAAAATGTCTACAAAATTTTAAAAAAAGGGAAAAGAAAAATTAAAGGTCCAGGAAAACGATTCCAGCGGTGATGACCACAAATGTTAGGCAAAAGCAAAGAATAATAGTGCATAATAAAATAACAATACACAAAGTCGACTTCATCAAAGAATGCAAAAGCCAGATGAGTAAAAGCGAATCTGGTAAGATCATGGATATTTTCAGCTTGCAGCAAATCAACAACGAGGGCTTATCACCTGAGGCATGTCAGGACAACATAACCTCTGCCTCATCCTAATCTTCCACCTCTAAAAGCACAGTTCATTCTCACTGCCCACAGATACCCAATAAATGCACACACACATCACAATGGCATGTCATGCTTTGGTGGGTGAACGAACGCATGTGTCCACCGTGTTGAGCCGTCATTCAACTACTGTTCCTCTTACTGGACACTGCTGGCGGAAATAAACAAGAGTAGTGAGGTAACTGCTCATTTGCATGAGCATCCCAATACTAAGACAAATTATGCTTGGCAAGTAATTTATGTGTAGACAGACTTAAGCGTCAAAGACCAATCTTCTCAGCCAATAAATCATCAGCCTAAGCTCAATCGAAAAATGATTGAAATTGAAGCACATGCTGAGTCTCAGTAATTACACCTCCGTTATTGATCGTTAAACGACATGACTACAAAATGAGGAACTCAAAGTCACTAGTTTGCGATTAAGTAAGCTCAGAGGAAATGTAATTCTGTGTTGTGCAATACAGTTCACGCCGTAATCTTATAATAAAGTCGATTCTGATTAAAATAGTTTGTAATATGTGGTTCACATTCGTCTTAAACTAAATAATTAAATTGACAACGTTTTATATCGTTTTTTTAATTTTTACAAGACCAGCTAAATTACAAGCGCACAGTGACAGATTTTTCCGTTATCTCTGAAACAAGTTCACGTAAACCAAGTGCTTTGAGAATGGTTTTTTTGAAGCTCGATACCAAAACAATCAATAAAAATATTATGGTTGTGGCTTTTAAAGGTTAATTAAGCGCTGGAGTCACTGTAAGAAAATGGAAAAAATTTATCAAATATTTTGTTTGTTTTTATGGACGACGATGCCGCTTTACTCGAATAGTGTTCTGAGAATTTCTTAATCCGCCGTTTTAATGGCCTCAGAATGCCCTCACGTCAGAAAACGTGCAAGTAATTGTGAGAAAACTTGCCGTAATAACAAGAAACGTAAGATTGATTCGTGTTTGGGCAACTTAGATGATGTTGCATCCGACGATTGGAAGGTTTGTTTGCTGATGATGCATTTCGTTTATTTTTGAATAAAGTTTGTTAACGTTTATTGATTAAATATCGCTATTTTGCGTATTTAACAGCTGACCATGGGGGTGTCTCTTGCTGATCGCCTCGAAACAATCGCCTCGGAGAACAACCTCACCATCCTTCAAGTGAAACGGTTGCTGAAGGATGTGTTGACAAACCCTTCTGTGGTGAATGCGTTTCGTCAGTATATGAGTGGGCAGCTTACTCTTCTGGAACCCGAGACAGGAGAACCATCGACCTCAACTAGAAGGCACGCTCATCTTCTTGGTTTTGACGTTAGTTCTCTTGGCCGCCGCTCCAGCATCATGGATCTTATATCGAACCGAACTCTGACTAGGTAGGTTTAATGCTGGATTTTTTTGTCACTTAAAATGTGAGCTTTCATACTAGTCTTTGTCTGCAAATCCTTTCTACGTGTGTTTCCATTCAGACCGTATTGGAAAGTAAAGCAATAATTTTATGGTGATTTATTGCGTGTTCACTCTACTAGTAACCAAAGTATATATCTGATTACACTCTAGTCATTATTCCTTGAAGGTGTTATTGGTTTCGGGCTTATTAAATGCAAATTACATAGTTGTCCTTTTACCACTACTAGACTTTCTCCAACACCACTGGACCTGAATGTTTTCCTAAGAATGTTGCAAAATGGTAACCTGATATTTAACTTGATTGTATTCATGGTTACATTCATGACGCTGAACTCCCTTTGTCTTTTCTAGGTATCATTGACTCAAATTTTGTTCTTAGTAATTTGTTCTAGTCATTTTATTAAGTGGGGTTTTTAATCCAAAGGGCGTACACTAAGTATACATAGTCTGTAGTTCCGTTCTTGGCCTGCACCAGTTACTCTCCTTTTTTAAGTGAATATCAAGATTAAAACACAGGCATTATTTGGTTGTTTGGCGCAACTGAAATGGAAACAGAGTATAATTGTTTCCCCATTGCAAACAATTCGAAGTCCTAAACAGTGTTTAACAAGAGGGAAAGTAGTTTAATGACGGCTCAACACGGTGGACACATGCGTTCATTCACCCACCAAAGCATGACATGCCATTGTGATGTGTGTGTGTGTGTGTGTGTGCATTTATTGGGTATCTGTGGGCAGTGAGAATGAACTGGGCTTTTAGAAGTGGAAGATTAGGATGAGGCAGAGTTTAAGTTGTCCTGACATGCCTCAGGTGATAAGCCCTCGTTGTTGATTTGCTGCAAGCTGAAAATCGCTATAATCTTACTGTTTTCCTTTTTAATTTTTTACATGGAAACTATTTTACTGTCATCAACTCGAGTTAAAAGCCGGAAACCCATAAATTCCTTTTTTGTTTTCGCTTTCTTTACCTTTTTTTAAACTGAGTTAATTGGCATCGTATGTACAGAATATAGATAGATTCAGTCGTTTGATGGTCACACGTGTTTGGTTCTATAAAACTCGACTTTATCTTACTATCAGCTACATCAGATGAATTTATTTGTTTTCCATTTTTGTCTTAATCAAGGGTGACTTGTGTTGCTGATTTTAAATCCACTTTGTCTTTCTAGATCACTAGCCAAGCAATTAAGGGCGGAGGCTACAAATAAGGGGACGTTTTCTTCGAATATGTCTAGTGAAGAAAATTTCGCCAAACACAGCCTCGATTTTGGTACATCGAGACCAAAAGCCACTACCTTTCTTGAAATGCACTTTTCCGAAGGTGAGGACGAAGATGGCGCAGAAAATATAGCAGAAAAAGAAACTGGAAACGCTCCCGCGCTCGGTACTGATGATGGCAATTTCCACCAACGCGATGAAGACTATCAGCCAACAGCGGACGATTTTACCCTCTTGCAACGGGATCTCTACTATGACCGTGATGACGTAGAAATGAAATCAGTGTCTAGTGGCATGGCAGGTGGAGTGGAAGACGAAGAGGATACTCTTAACGACAGCTTGCAGACCGTTGAGCCCTTTGATTCGCCCCACAGAGAGTATTATTTGCGTTCAAGGAAAAATGATGACATTGGCATGCAAAATTGCTGTGCTGGGCTTACTCCTAGTTTGCTGCACATGCTCGATGAATATGATGTGAATTTCGACGCTGATATGGACTCAACTGGATTTGCTGAGGCAATATCTGGTCCCAATAGGGCCGCAGATATTGATCCAGAGGATCAAATTTACTCTAACTTCTTGAAATCACTTTACGGATCGACTCCTCCGGAACCGAGTTTATCGTCTCCTAATTTTAAAGAGGTATGACATTTCATGTACTTTACTCCACGCCTGTCTGATATAGGTAACTGGTCCTATCTTTTACCCATTTCAGGATACCCCTAGGCATGAAGTTGGTGGAAGTAAATTTCAAAATGGTGTAGCACTTTCGAAGTCACCGTCGAAGCTAAGATCTTCGATTATAAATGACTCCAAATTAACTGCAGACGACTTTGATGATCCTGACTTTGATGTCATGGCAGAAATCGAGGCCGTTTGTTGTGATGATCTTTTTGACGAACTTCGATCCGACCGTGCTGTCCGCATTTCGAAGATGGAGGCAAAAGTAAATGCTCGCATATTCACCATGTTTTTATTACCTCGTTCTAAGGTGGTCGACTTTGTCTTCCCCGAGGCTCACTGTAATCGAGCCTGGACACCCACAGTCTCCAAGCTCCTTATCAGACAATATGCTTCAACTAATTATTATTGTTGTTAAGAAATTCCAGGCTCTAAACAAATTGGAATCTGAGATTAACTTAGGTCCTGAAGTGTCGGATCCATTAGTTATTGGTGTAAATTGTCATGTTTTTGCCTTTTGAATTCGTTCAGGCAATCAAGGAAAGTAGGCTATGTAGCTTTGCAAATTTCCTGTTTAATCAATGAATAAGAAGTCGATGTTGTTCACAACCACAATGCATAGTCGTATTCAAGCCTCTCGGTCGCCATAACCTCTTTGTATTATACCAGGAACTACGTCGGGATTTGGTTGAACTTTTCAATGAGGACTACGGCAGTGTGGACATTGACGAGGACATTACGGCAGCAACCACACACCCATCAATGAGAAAGTCGCACTGTGCGCAAGCCAAATCCCATGATGCGATGCCAAGTGACAATCGCGAATTCCCACCTCTTTCTCCACCACCATTGTACGTGTTCGTACTTTAACTATCAGTCTTTGTGTACCATTTACTCTGTTTACTAAACGTTGACGCAATTACGGTGTTGTGGTAAAGCACCACTTGCTGATACCCCTACAAAATCAGCCCATGGTAATATGAATTGCGCAAACGCTTTACAGGTAAAATGCATCTGTGTAGTAACGTTACGTTATAGCTAAAAGATACCAACACTTGCCTGACTGTTGATATTCCATCGGGTTACTTCAGTTTTCGCCGTTTCACAAAACTCAACACATTAGGTAGAACTGTTTCATTGCTGAGATTTTCGATATCTTTTCCTTGCGACAAACATAAGCCAGGCATGATCTTAAACAACGTCGGGTTCCTTTAACTTCAAGTTTAAGCACGTTTATTGTATTTGCATCCACAGCTCACACTCCATAAATGAACGCCTTCGGCGCCAACTCTCCATGCACGTGCAGCTCCTCTGTTCTACACTAGCCTGTTCAATTAACCGCGTTGATCTTGAGGCCTCCGTGTGCACTCTCGTCCAGGAGGCCTTTGGTGATATTTTCAGTGCCTTTCAGGAGGCCAAGCAGGATCCTTACACTTACGTGACAGGTCTCTCAGACCTCAACGACCTATTTGCCCATGCCTGCTCCTTCCTTTTTGAGTTCGCCGGTCTAACCATGCTACCTCGGCCACCTCCGAATCCAGCGGCTTCAACGTCTTACCCTCCACTCCTACCCCTCCCATTTTATCTCCTTGACTTTATTGTTCGCAGCCCCATTTGGGCTTATCCGCGCTTTCTTCCCCGCGGTTTGGCTTCCAGACCCCACCAAATGCCAAAGAAGAATTTTACCAACGACGAGGACAACTTAATGGTCATTGGGTTCGCGAATTTCATCGAATTCTCTCCTCGTCGCTTTAGCATTTTTGCTGAAAGTCTCGATCGTCGTCATAAACTCCCGAAAAGTTCTGAGGCTTCCACCACCACCGCCACCGGCACGTCCACTATGGCCAGTCGCTCTAAGGTGTTCGACTTTATCTCAAAAACCCTTATTCCTACAAGGTCTAAGTTGCAATTACACAGCCGTAAAGCCTACATGGATAAGATACTCCACAGGGACTGGCTTAATTGCGGCCCCATTTCAAAGTCCTCGCTCTACCTGTTAATGTTAGATCTAACCTCGGGTAACTTCGAAGGTCTGGATGAGAAACGAAGCCTCCTCCGAGCATGCGTGCCGAGTTTTGCGCAGAAAACTTGCGCCGCAGCCGAAGGCTCCTTGCAGCTGGGCAGTGTCTTCTCGCGCCCTGAGTGTTGGGACAACCTACCGGCAGAATACGCGCTCTGCTGTCAAGCTCTCCGAACTCAAATGCACGAAGGAAAAACGGGGGCTCCAACACCCGTCCTTGCGCCCCTGACGTCTATGTTTCCTGGTGATGTATCTCAAATTATTAACTTTTACTCCTCCGCCATGCTCACTTGGTGGCCGAATGAAAATAACCCAAATGCCAGTGCGAGAGTTGCTGATGTTCGTGAAGTTAATGCGTTGTAAGTTCATTTGTGGATTTTGAGTAGTTATGAAACGCCATGGTCTGGTTAGTAGTGATTCCGCAAAATGTGGAGTTATTCACCTTTGTTTCCCATTCGTCGAATTTCGTAAACACAATCCTTAAGCTTTGCGTGCTTTCGTGTATCAAGAGCGATTCATCGGTTTTTTTCTGCATTAAGATGTCATTTATGTTCGGACTAATGAGTTGTGAAATAGCACCTACAGCACTGCTATTTGTTATCGTCCATGCACACCTGGCAAATAATGCGATTGTTCGTCGTAAATCAAGCCGATTATTTCCAAAAGCGCTTATTTACGTTAAATCATTTCTTCGTTCCGACTAAATAGGTGAATTTCACTGTTCGGGAAAAATGCTTGATCTCACGTTCTTGACTATTTATGCTGTTAGTCTGGATTTTGCTTGTTAAAGGCCATTTCAGCGGTGTCAGTGAATACGCTTCGAGTATTGACAATATGTGTACCCGCGTTTGTTTTTGGCTGTAGGAGCCCTCGAAGTAGTTCACTATTGCCCTAAGCATATTTGACTATCCCCGTATTAGCACCAATATACCTTGGATTTGCTTCCTTTTACATTTAATCCTTGAGACTACTCGTGGCATTAATTGATTCCAAAATGATGGACTTAATGTACTTACCATCATGGGTTCCGTTGCCCCTCACCGTAAATTAAAACACCCTCGACATTCCATCATCTACGGGTTTTGCGAACGTGTACACGCAGTGCAACCCTTAACTCCCCTGATAGAGACAGGCTCAATTAGTTTGGCTTCTTTGTTTCAGCTTGTTTTGTAGGAGATACGGATCGTCGAACCGAAAATGTGTGTTCGTTTGGACTATTAATAATCCATTTCATGTAGCGTTTCTGATTTAGACTGTACACTAAAGGGAATTAACTTAGTTCTGAAATACTTTTCCTAAAGGGTGGTTTGATTCTACTCCGTATCTGATATTTCAGCCAAGCCCGGCCGATGGTCGATCCTCTTGCGCCGAATGTGGTCATTGTCATGCCTGCTTTGGGCAAGCGACCCGTTTCTAGGGTGTCCGCTAAGCTTCCCATCCCACGCCTGCCAAATCGGACTTCACCGGCCCAAAAATCGACCAAAGGTGCGGACCTCGTTTCTAGATCACCGGAATCCCCCCCTCTTCCTTCATCCTCGGTGAACCCACTCGCCTCATCGAATGCACCACTCCCTGGGGAGCTGTCTGCACCTCGTCACACATGCGCTGCGCCATCAAAACCGGTGTGTTTGAGTTGATTTCAAGGCTTTTAATTGTTCAGTAAAATGTCTCACCACATGGATTTTTACTTGAAACACGTTACAAAATCCCTTATTGTGGTGAGTGCTGGCAATCTTTCAGGTTTTGCTTTAGAGGTTTGCTTTTCCATACACCAACACTTAGATTTCGAGTGTTAGTTTGAGCAGGTACTTAAACGGTTCGTTTTTGTCCTGCTAAAATCGTGCGTTTGCAGCAGCTTTCTCACTTTCATTGAGCTCCGGTTGGGGTTTTTTGCTCCCGGCAGGTTGTTTGTTTCAACGCGGAACGAAGTTCATGCGTGAGCGGAAAATATCCAGTTACTCAATCTAGTCTCTTCTGTGCATTAAAAAATCCTACCCTCATGCTAAAAGAGGCAAACTAAGCATTAAGCGGGTGTCAAGCCAGAGCACGTAAATCAAGTAATCTTAATTTTTTCTATCAGGGTTAGCATCTGTAGTTGAGCTGAATTTCAATTAATTGTGGAGTTATAAGCCCAAGCATTCTCCTTCAATCTACTCACTACCTGCCTATTCTGTCTCCCGTACTTTGAAGTACGTTGTTCGCAGTGTTCATACCGGTAAAACTGAAGTTTAGACGTGTTTGTGTGACGTGCTCAGGCAATCGCAGATTCTCATTAGCACACTACGGCGAGAACTTTTAGCAGTGAGCTTCAAGACAATCCGGGCAGCTCGAATACTTTTAGACCTTCTCGAAATTACCTTGTGTGTACTTGTGTAACTTTCTTTCGTGTGAATTTACATATATGACAGGTGTTTTCCGATCGAACAAATTTGAATGTCAGCCGCGAATCAACGATTGGCTAGCAGCGCGACTGTTATCGTTGTGTGTGGGAATAACCACGTTTTTATATTTGCAGAATATTGTATGGACGATGAAGTTGGCCAATTACATCTGCTACATTCTTTTTTTACAATACGCTTTTGCCGTGCTCAGGTTTAAGGTTATCAATTCTTCATCAAGTTGCTTTTTAACTTCTGCACATCCAAATCGCACCATTTCCAAAAGGAACCAAATTATGTTACTAATTCCCTGACTAGCTGGACTTTGCATCTTTTTGGGTTTCACTAGGATGTATCCTATTTTCGAATCCCAAACAACAGATTAAGTAGATTTTGCACTGCAATATTTTGCTGATACATTAGTCGGGTTTTCTTTGATTGTATTTAGCTACTATCATTATCATTACAATAACGGTAGATTTCAAGCCTAACTGAATTTGATGTCTCAATAAAAATGCAAAGTATCTTGTGAAGGGCTTATACCATTAGAATGATCACTGTTAGTGGATAGGGTCTTCAGTTTTAGCATACTTTCTCCTTTTTGTTTAAATCAAATTGTGTATAAGTCAGTAAGTCGGGTCAATTTTATATTGCAAGACCTATTTAGTGGTTTCTTGCCTTCCTACGATTGTATCCTTTCCAAATATTTTAGGTTAATCAGGTCACGCCGCTAAAAATCCCCCGCTTTTGTCACAATCACCAGTCTTCTTCAGCTGGAAGCCGCAGTCATCACTCCTCTCATTTCCTTCCTCAAGTTGGTAAAACCATTCAGTCATTCTACTCGGTGCTTGACCGTGTGTTGCGTGGCCACGCTCCGCCCTCACGTCCTCGTTCTTCCACGCCAGCTGCTCTCACCGCCCGTTTTCTTCGACGGTGTCGTAGGAATGACACCGCATGGCTTCCAACTTCCACCGCGGGTGGCAAGGAAGCAGACGAATCGGACGTTCGGAGGGCGCGCTGTTTGCTCGATCGTTGTCGGACCCACCTCGGTCGACAAACACACGGCGACGTAATCCGTGCATTAGCCGAACAGCCAGCCGTGCCTCTTGAGCGCATCCTTCAACTTCTGTCCCCTTCACGCCCTTTGTGGGAGGAATTTGTGGGGCTTTGTTTGACTCCGGGACAAGCACGCTCTCTTCACATCTATCCAATTTACGCACACCTTCAGCGGGTACGTGTCATTCACTCACTCCTCCGTGCCTCCCTCCCCCGCGCGAAAAGGCTGTGGTCAGGATTGAGGAAACTTGCGGATTCACGAGAGGCAGAGGAGCTGAGGATACCCGCGTTCCAAGGAGCACCTCACCCCTCGTCTGACTCGTCTTCTCCTCGCAGTTGCAACCGGAGGAGAACTCGGAAAAGACGAAGACGCCAAACAGCCGAAGAGGAAGAAAGGCAAAAACCACCAAAGGATGTATACAAGTCAGCGTGGTCACTCTTAGAAACGGCTCTGAAAGATCGATATGCCCTACACGTCCAGACAGCCATTTCACTTGATGCTCTGCACAAACCATATTCTAACTTCCCCCAGGTAAAAAAATGATGGTCCCGATCTCTCCTAGTTCCCAATAGTGGTCATTCTATTCAGATTTGGTTGGTATCAATTCTAACAGTATCAATTCTATCCACCATACCATCTTCCCGTGAATTGAAGACCAAATTCAATGTTTTCTGCTATTAGTATGTTAAACCAATCTGTTTTATCCTTGTAGACTTTTGAGGTAAATGAGACATTAGCCCGAAGACCGTCTACGTTGCCGGAGCACTCGCCCAGTCTTTGCCAGGGATCTAGTCCTCCCATCAGTCTTCCAAGACTGGTTGATGAGTTTGCCTCCAAAGTTGATCTCAGAGCTAGCGCTTTCGCCGAGAGCCTTCAGTGGGAGATTTCCACTGAGCTCTCTTCACGGTCGTCTGCGGCGGCCAAATCGAAACTGGCCAATCGGTGTCCATGCCCCTGTCATGATAAAAGCAAACGAACTGCCACAAACGCCCAGGCTCAGGTACAGCAGTCGGGCACATCGACTGGCGTCGTTGGCAAATCCGCTTCAAAGGCTGATAGTCTTGGGCTGCGTCACTGCATCAAGTGCAGCCTTCGGGTAAACACTCCAATTAAAATATTTTACTGATTTCCGTGTTTAATAATCCCAGTGTATTTTCTTGGCGACAAGGTTGGTAGTCTTCGTCAAGAAGATCTGATTTGTCCTGGTCTGATTCCTAAACTGTATGCCTCATTGGCACATTGTAAATGGACTAACGGAATGCCATGGCTGACTACCTGCTTAAGCTCTATGCAGCTTTTAAGCTGGATTGCTGTCCTTATCAAGGGCAAATTATCAAAGTACACGTTTGAGAAAGAATGTTTGGTAAATTAGTCCTTAACGGGCATTGAGTTTAGGTACAAGTGAAGAGGACGTGTTTCCTTCAAATGTGTTCCTGTTGTCATGTAATCTCTGGACTTTTTCAGGCCTTGTAAAGCCGAAACCTGCTTTACTATGAAAATGCATAGCAAAGAATAAAACTCATGCACTCCGGGGTTTTGGTTTAGGTTATAGTTTGGTCGCTAGTTTCGCACCTGGAGATTCTCTTTCTGTCTTATAAGCTCTGTACCATAGCCCTTCAAAATCGTTTGTGGCTATAAATCAAGTCATCAGTTTTTACTATGAGTTTACGGAAGCAGGATTACTCGGGCTTTACATTCCCACCCACGTACTATTCTTACGGCGCTACCGTCAAATGGCTTGCGGTTCACTTTCAGCATATGAGAAGGCGGCTGCATTTACATTGAGATGATGTCAACTGGCCTTTTTAACCCTTACCCAAACACATATTCTCTTTTTAGGTGCACCAGGGAGTCGTCTACGTAGACGAGTGCAATTTTCATTTGACACATGTTCAAATCACCTGGCCAACTGTCTTTTCCCCACGTGTCGAGTCCACTGATACATGTGTTTACAATCCTCCGTCACCTCAGGATGACGGCTCAGCTGTCCAACTGCCGAGTTCCTGCAGTACACTTCAGGCGCTTCACGCTCTGGGCAGTTATCATGAAAGCAGTTGTAGTGGTGCGACTGTGACATCTGTTGTGGTCCCCGACATGGCCGGTAGGCAGGTTTCTGTCAATTTTGGCGAACTTCTGTTGCCTCCATCGAGGAAGTCCATCGATGTTCCAGTTACACCAACTGTTCTCTCTCCCATGGCAGATAAAACATCAAAAGCGTTTACCTCAGGTACTTCACCCGTTTCTGTAGCCCTGCTTTATTTGCTCATCTAATGATCAATTTTCACGTTTTGTCAAACCGCACATACCGGCGACAGCGAATTATCTTCTCAAGTTGCCATCGTTTCCGTGTCTAACCCACGAAATACACTGTGCTTATGGTTGATTGATAGGTACTGGTTTTACGGGTCTTTAATATCTAGACTAGAATTAATGAATTCCGAAATTTATACCACATTGTTTAGTTCTTATAGACCTGCCTGTGTATTAGGCATTACTACCGAGTCACTTGGATAAAGAAAGCCAGAACTCGGACAATATTGTGCTCTTTGTGGTTTCGAAAACACATTTTAGACCGCTTGGTCACGATAGCTTTAAATTTTCAATGATTTAGGTTACAAACGGCAACAGTGCTGCTATGTAATCGCAGGAAAACAACATGGAAGTTCAGCTAACAAACTTCATTGGTTGCGCAAGAAGTTATTTCCTTACCTTAATCATCTTCAATCATTCAGCCTATTCCTCCTCACCTCCCATCTCCCCGCCCCCGATCTTTCAACTACCGCCCGTGGACGTGGACGATGAGGCTTGTTTCAACACAGAGGCCTTTACTCAGCGACATAAGGAGGAATCTTCCCTAGGCGTTGTTGCCTCAGCCTCAGAACAGTTTTCGTCTTGGAGTGCAGCTGAGGACCGTCGTCTGTTAGAGCACTGCCGTACCGCGGGGCGGTGTTCTCGACGAAGCCTCCTTGAATTGGCTGCTCAATGGCCCGAACGGTCACCGGAAGAGTTAATGGCGCGTTTTAAGTACCTAACGCTCGTCGCACACGGGGAGAGCTACCATTCAAATATGTGCACTGACTCTAGTCAGTCAGACCAGGATGCTGAAGAAGACTTCTGATGATGTATATACAAGAATATATTGTGAAAAGACTTTTAAATATTGATCGACGTTGTCTATTACAAATAATATTCATTGCTACACATGCGTGGGTATTGTGCACACAGTGGACGGATGCTAGCATTGTCCTTTTCTCATACATAAGCAACGACCAAATTACACTCCACTTTCCCACATCCCCACCTCCCGTTTTGGCCGGCCCCAGTAACCCCTAGTCCGCTTAGCCGAGTGCTTACTGTGTCTGACAGCCACAGCCAACACTATCGAGGGCAGGGGGTGGGAATATCTGTGGTGATCTGTCAGCGAATGAGCGTGGATGAAGCTTATTGACGAGATGGTTTGATGTCAGTAATTATTGATCATACTCAGCCGAAAATCACTCTCACTCTCTCGTCAAAGACACCTGTCTAGTTGACTTTAATAAAAGCGGTCATATCCGTTGTCATCTTTCTCTGTTCTCGGGTTGTTACGGACTAACGAGGTTGTAAGGTGGTGCCAACAAACCAATGAGTGGATTTTCCTCCGGTTTCACGTCGTGTCCAAGCTAGAAAAATTGCTCCAAGGCTCGGCTCAACGTTTTTTTAATTTTTTTTTTTTACTGTTGCAGATACCAAAGCATAGCGTTGTGTGGAGCAGGAATGTGCATTCTTGCTTCGGACAGTTTGCAACTGGTGAATTTACTGGTGGAACCAATATTTTGTGTGGGCGTTCAGTGTGTGTGAAGAGTTGTTTTTATCACGCAAATCTGACAGGCTTCCACGACACCGTTCCTTTGAAAAAATGTAGATTGAACACTTCACGTGTACATTAAATATGTAATTTGGTTTAATACTATAGCGTGCCTGAAGTTTTGGCCTGGATGATACAATTTTAGCTAATACGACGACGTAATCGTTGTGAATTTTTCTCGGACCCAGAGCGTCCCATACAGAAATAATTAAAAATAATACATAGAATGCAGTCTCATTTATAGTAGTGATGGATTGAAGCAAGTCTAAATTACAAGTACGTCGTGACATGTTTGATGTCACAGCCGTCTGATCAGAATACCTATTCCTTGGGTCGATTCGAAGACTTACAGTTCTGTTGTGAATCGTGTTAATTCACACTCTACCTCAACTCCCCCCCATTCACACGGATATTTATTTTGGATTATCCTCACACCTAGGTCTCGATGTTAGAGCATATATGACGCACTCATCTAAGG